AAATATAAACAAAGTTCTCAGCTGGCTTGATAAAGTCGGGATGTTTGATTTGTGCTGACAACGCGCCAAGGCAAGGGGCGTGCCGCAGGATGTACGTGCGTGTGCGTGTGTGTGTGTGAGTATGTGCGTGTGTGTATGAGAGTTTATGCCAACTTTGGCAATTCAACTGCCAAGCTTTTCTCACAAGAAAAGTTCGTCAGGTTGACGCGTGTCTGACTGACAAATATTTGCATGCAAAAATTTGTAGTCAGCAGAAAAATATGTTCTCAGGCTTAACGCAAAAAAATGCTGTAAATTATGCTGATAAGTTGAGGCAGCGGCAGGAGTTGAATGAATAAAGGAAAACTTGTGCTGATGTTGAGTGCCGGCAATCAACGCCACATATAACACACACTTCTACAAGGTACAACGAGCAAATTATTGAAATTTTATTCCTCAGCACAGTTCACTTAATCAGAAATGCATAAATTTGCACGCACACAAATGCTCTCTAATTGGGCGCGCTTTGAAAAGGGTTCGCTGAGCTTAAGATAATTAATTCACATGGAATGCCGGCAGGGTCAGGACACAAATGTTAGCTTAAATGCATTTCAATTGTTAAGCCCACACGCATATTGTTCGGTCAAGTTAGAAATAATTACGCATACGCCATGCATGCCCAGCAGCTGCTCACGGCTGGGATGACACTTCAATTGATGGATGAATGTTTTGCCAGCTCCCTTAACATGCCAACTGATAGCTCCGGCAACGGCAATAACAACAACAACAGCAACAATAACAACAACAACAACATTATTATTAGCCACGTTTTGTACTGGCAGCCAGTCAGCTGCATGTCGCTATCATTATGGCTATCACTGACAACCCAGTGATAAACTGCAAGATGGCAAAACATCATGAAGTCAATTATATAATGACGTCGCACGTCGCAGTCGGCAGACGTCAGAGCCAGCGTCAGCGTCAGCGTCGACGTCAGCTGCGCGCCGGTAGTTAACGTCGCCTTCGTCAATGGTCTCGCTTGACATGCTCGTTACAATTTATGTTTTGTTTGTATTGGCGGGTCGCTTGGTTATTGCACATGGCACAAACATGGGTCAGTGCGACAAAGTAATAGGGCGGGGCGGGGCGTTGCGAAGGGAAGTTGTTTGTGGTCGCAGCAATTTGGCGCACTTGTTGTACCAGCTGCATGGAGCACAGCTGAGCCCGAATAGCTGTCAAAATAATTGTCGATGGTCGGATAGCTTTGACGCTCCATAAACCAGAGCTCTTTGGCATTGAATGGGTTGTGCATGGCAAATAATACAATGACAGCTATGTGAGATGTTAATTTTTATACAATCCTAACCGTTAGAGAGCTCATAATTTGACATCTTTGATCTATTTCTAATTAAGACACAATGCATCATAATTAAAGCACATTTATGGCGCATTTGTGTTATATATTATTTATCTATAAATAGCAAAATAATTGCAAAATAAAATAAAGCAAGCACAAATTATTTAACGGGCAATTCGCTTTGCAAAATAAACCCAAATGTCTATAAATTATTATTGAGAAAGAATTGGCAAATAAATAAGGCCAAACGCTGGCCATTAAAATTAATAGAAAAAATTGACTTTTCCGTTCGCCATGGAAATAAATAATTGAGCAGAGATTCCCTTTTTTACAAATTATGTATTTTGTAATACGTTTGAGAGCGGTAAACATGTATATTTTACAGGCACATTGGCTGTCAGTAAATGCGCAATACAAAAAATATAAAAGACCTGGTTATCTGATCTTTTGCGGAATTCAGAATGAATAATTATTATACGCATTTTGTTCCGTTCTATTCTATATATTGATTATATTAATTAATTGTGATCTGCGCAACTCATGAAAATATTATATTTCAGTATTATATTCATATAATACCCTATTATTTGGCATATTTATTTATGCCTTGTGCAGTTTATGACAATCATTATTTTGGTAAATTAAACGCAAAAAAGTTATTAGAATTAAGTGTGATTATTTTTTACTTAAAATCTATTATAAACTCTTTACTCTACAATATATATATAATAGGCTTTGCCGAGCTTTGCGAAACGGTTTCAAAGCGTACAGCTAAGCTATAATACCCCAAATGTGTGCCCAATATCGCAGATAACGAACGGAACTTACACCTTAGTAAACAAATTCTTTCAAAGCACAGTTGAGTTTTGGGTAGTCTTTGAGAAGGTTGTCTACAATCACCACAACAAAATAAAACATTAATACGTATTTTTGAAAGCATAGAAATGAATATATTTATTGCGTTGGTCTTTTCGCTGGCGGCTGCGCGAACGGGCTGCGGAGCGAGTTTAAACTTGAATCAATCGCTGCCCGAGGTGCATAACGATAGATTCTATTACTTTGCCTTTGGAAGCAACATGTTGGCCCAACGGATTCACATTCAAAACCCCACCGCTGAAATCGTGGGTCCCGTAACACTTGAGAATTACCGCTTGGATTTTGCAACGCTGCCCTTTGACAGGTGGGACGGGGCTGTGGCTACCATTGTGCCGACGGAGGGTGCTCGCATCTGGGGCACGCTCTGGGAAATAGATGTGATTAACTTGGCGGATATAGACAAGTAAGCGAGCAAGAAACACAGCTGGAAATTTTATTGAATGAATTATTACGTTTTTTTACAGCCAGGAAGGTGTTCACCTTCAACTATACAGACCCATCACAGTGAACGTTAAGCTACACGGCAATGACACGGACACTGAGATCCCCGCGAGAGCCTATGTACTAGTGCATCAGCCCGAGAACAATCTGCATGACATTACGCCAGGTATGGTGCCCGAGGATCGACAGCCCTCTAAAACGTACCTACAGGTACTTGTCAAAGGTGCCATTGAAAGCGGCATTCCGGAGACGTATGTCAAATTTTTGAAGAGCATTAAGCACAATAGCAAAACGGTTAAAAAGCTGGAGCAGGCTCTTCAGGTACAATCCGTGGATTTGTAAATAAAAAATGACATATTCGATGCCAAATTATAAAAGTACAGATTCGAAGAGTGGCAAAAATAAATAATCTATTATGGGTTGTAGTCTCTGCTACTTAATGCGCAACTGTTCTTTAAAATTAGCCGAGTTTCAAGCCAGCCGTTGAAAAATACTTGGTGTTCTGGACAAAACTAAACTGCTGCGAAACTCTTCAAATGCAGCTGTTCCCAATTCTTAGTCGATTTTCAAACCGTCAAAAGCTAGAGCTAAGTTTTACCGTAGTAGATTTTCAAACCTACAAAAACTAAAGCTAAAGCTTCTACACAGATGAACAGCTGTTAATTTTTTTTTATTTTGAGACTCAGCAAGACCAGAATATATTTATTATATATATATATATTTAGCTTGCCATTTAAGACTTTTTTTAAAGGTATTAAATTTTATAAACAAAATATATTTTTTGTTGCATTTTATTAGTTTTAATATTCGCATAAACAATTTGGAGACACTTTGGTACAAGTATTTTGTTGTGCGGTGTTAAAAGCAATGGCAATGGTTTTGCTCTCCTATTGTCACGCTCAGTAGCATGCTGTCAGCTGTGCGAGCTACGACGTGTAAACAAAGATTACAATTTCTAAAGTGACGTGTATAGTTAATGTGTAACTATTAATAAAAACTAAAAACGTATCTGAAAAACACGCATTCTATTGATATTTACAACTTAATATCAAGCAGCACGTAAGTTTTATTTAAAATACAATAGCACACTTAGCGCTCATAAATAAAGTCAGCTGTTTGTTTGATAAAAAGCTCTGACGTGGAAAAAGCTTTTCTCAAATTGCAGTTGAAAATAATTTAATTTAATTTAGATGAATTTGGAGTCTACAACAATGCGTAGCTAGACTTTAATAGTGAATGACTTTTATAAACTATTTTGTCTCATTTTTTTAAAGAATAAATTTGGTTTTTTATCACATTAATTGTAATTGTTCCATAATCCACATTTAGCCAAAAACACAACCACAAATCTGCTTGGATGTACACTGCTCGCGAGCAGTTCAAAATGGTTTATCAGTTGTTGTCAAACCAAGTTTGCAACGGCTCTAAAACCTTGTGGAGAGTATCAAATTTCAAAATTACCAAACAAAATCAAAAAACGTGGTATGCAGATCGATTCCAGATCCCAGTACGAGTTCAAAAAGGCATAACTTTCCAAAATCGGACCTTTTTTAGCCGAATTATCGGAAAAAAACGAAAAATCTTCAAAATTATAACGGCATTTTTTCGCGTATTTTAAATCGCTGGCCAAATCGGCCCCGATTGGTCTCGTTCGACTCGTGGTCACAGCCATTTTGAGCCAAATCGTAATTTTTGCAAAAAACATAGAATTTTTTCTCAAATTGGGCCATTTCTTAGAATTCAGATTTTTTGGTGTCAATCGATAGTCGGGATCCGTACGATATCTCCGATATCGGACATATGGTACCCGAGATATTTCAATTTGAATTTTAACCGCTACAAACGGCTAAACGGCTATAAAGCCCCAGACGCCCCTGGCGGGTATGCAATGGATTTCTAAAAACCGTTAATTTTTGATGCCGCAACCTTTTTTTTGTTTTTTTTTTTTTGGCAGCTTTTGAACCGAACCGGTTCGAGTCCGAAGTGAACCGAACCTCAAAACGATGCATAAAAAACATATCCGTCCATATTATATATGTTTATATGTATACTCAAGTTGTTTATTTGTTCTCATGAAAGTTTGCATAGCTATATATATTATTTGTCCCATTCTGTGCTTATGTAAATAAAATCTGTCAGATCGAATCACTATATCATACAGCTGTCTTAAAAACTATCGATAACAAAGAAGTAGAAAGAAGAAGGAAGAATTCAGTCGCAAAATGAGTTGTTTTTATATGGAAAAGATATCTGGATCAATCGAGCCTCACTCTTCTTTCTCTCAGCAAAAACGTAGCAAATCGAACTAACATAATACTATACGGCTTTAATAAGCGGGATCGATCGGGATTTTATGTGATTGATTCAGAGTAGATTCAATTTTTTGACATACACATAATTCGACACATTCGAAACTCTTTATAGATACAGGCACACAAATCTCGACCCCAGCTAGCTTTTGCGTTGGCAACGCTCAGCCGGCAAATGGCCAATAAATTCTATTATTTTGGCTTTGGCAGCAACATGCTGGCCCGGCGCATCCACATACAGAATCCGACGGCGCGGCGCATCGGAGCGGGCAAACTGGAGGTGAGTGCATTGCAATTTAATCGATTATTCATTATAATCATATCGAACTCGTAGAACTATCGGCTGGACTTTCATGGCGTCGGTTCCAACAGCTGGCTTGGAGCGCCCGCAACGATTGTGCCCACGACCGGCGCTCAGGTATTTGGCGCAATTTGGGAGATTGATATGTGCAATCTGAAGGATTTGGATGAGTATGCGCTATGCACAGGGTCAATCTTTGAACGATACTATAACGTAACTATTTCTCATGCCATGCACCATAGCCAGGAGGGTGTTTCTGCTGGCATCTATATACCCATCAGTGTGCCCGTTCACTCGCTGACCGCCAAAGAGGAAGTCATCTGTCGCGCCTACCATCTCAGCAATCAGCCGGAGACAATAGTGCACGGACAGACTGCCGTTGATGTACCCCACAATCGCCAACCCTCTCACACATATCTCAAGGTGCTGGTCAAGGGTGCCGAGGAGACGGGCATACCCGCTGACTATGTCAAGTGGCTGCGCGCGCTGCAGCACAATGGGAACAATGTGGAGGCTATGGAATTAAAATTGGAGCTATCCAAAGTAGAGCTCAGCTAATATTGACCATTTCGTCAGCTAACAGTGTATGTTGCCTTATAATGAGATAGTGTGTTCACATTGTATATAAATTTAAAGAGTAAAATAAATGAGTGCGTAATTGATATTTCGAAAAGGTGCAGAACATTTGGAGCCTTGTTTGTCCCAGATGCTGCTTTTTCAGGAAGAACTAGATGTTGGTTAGGAACAGCTTGCTATGTGGAACATGTGTATATACAGTATACAATAAGGCTAGCCTGGTTTATAATTGTACATATATATTTGTAAATATAAAACTAAGAGATACCCTGAACCTTGGTGATAGCTATACAATGAAAGATACTTGATCTCTGTATACTATTTATGTTCAATTTTGTGACACTAGCTCTTAAAACCTAAGAGATTTGCTCAAAAATCAGGATCGATTTGAAATAAAATGTCTGACCAAAGGGGATGTCCGTCTAAGAGGAGTGTCCGTTACGGTATTAATTTATAGGAGATATTTCGGACCCAACATAGAGCTGCTAGTGCCTGGGCTCAGACGTACCTAAATAAAGATTTAAGACGCTGCTCTTAATAAAAATAGCTAGTTGTTGGTTAAGAGCAAGTTCCTATATTTCTTTAAAGGGGAACCTACTGAGAAAAGTCAACGTCTTGTCAAAAAATAAATAAAACAGAATGAATGAATGAATTTAAATAATTGCATTTACTGATTTAGGAAGATGAGAAAATATGGCTTGTGAGTTGCCAAAGAGAAGAGTCCCCCTAAGAGGAGTCAGTCGGACAAATCTAGATTTGGTTAAAACTTTATTTAAATGCTGCTCATTGTAAAAAAAACTAGATGCTAATTAAGAGCTGCTTCCCATATCGAATGTCATCCGATAATTGTTCATATAAGATATATATTCTTTTATAATTTCGGAGTACTTTTTTTCTTTATTGAGAAATTAATTTAATTATTTATCCTATTTATGACGATGGCTTGCAAGATGCCAAGAGCTGTGTCCGCCTAAGGGGAGAGTCTTGACAAAACTTAAAATAGATGCTTCTCTTTGAATATAACACTAGATTTTAGATAAGAACAGCTTTCTTTATCGAACATATGCCATTCGATAATTGAGATATATTTTCTTTTCTATTTTTGAGCACTTATTTCTCTCAAGGGCAATCTCTATTGAGAAAAGCAAAAACTTTGTCAAAAAACACAAACAACAAAAAATGAATTTAATTAATTTTAATCACTTATTTATGATGATTACCAATTTCCTGTCTCACAGCACTGTCTTTCACAACTGAAAACTTGCCCGGGGACACGGATAGGAAAGTTTTTAGCTTTTTGGCTGGCGCTCCTAAAGTGCAATTAAAGTGCAATTTAGTGTGAGCCAAAGACGATGATGCTCCAAACTGTTTCTGTTTCTGTGTTCATGGACTTGGCCAAAAGTGTAGCCAACTCTAGACGGCCAGACGCTTAACGAGGCTCATCGAGGCGCCGCGTCATGTAGTTTGTGCATTGTGGACCTTGGCTTATTAATTTAAATTTCAAGTTTTGCGCTGCATAGTTCGGAGTGCAAAACAGCAGCTCGAGAGGGAAATGGAAGCTTAGACCAGCAGCTCAGCCCAAATTGCGTGCCAAAGTAATAATAAACATAATTTGGTGTGCACACTGTGCAGCTAATTTGGTACTGGGGGCAGCTCCATGCAGATGGGTCAGCCCACGATTACAACGGTTACAACCTCCAACAAGCAGCAATAACAACAGCAACAGGCGCAGCTCAGGGTTCTGAACTCTGAGGTGTCCAACTGCAAAAGTTCGAGCACAATTCCGAGCTGGTGTTTAACAAAGTAAAAAGTTTGGCCAAAGTGCTGCAGGATGCCTTTGTGGCACTTGTTAGCTTGTTGTGTTGTTATATGCCCTGTAATTTGCATGCAATATAGGGTATATTTGCACTGAGAAAAGCTGTGGTGCGCACAAAACTTTTTTGCGTATCAAGGCAAAATCTTATTAACAACGGATCACTATATCATTTAGCTGCCATAGAAACGATCTGTCGAAAATAATTTTACCAAAAAATATTGTCCAAACTCGGGTTTTTTTAGTTTCAATAGGCTTCTCATACATGTGAAAAATCGTATCAAAATCAGGTCACTTTATCATATAGCTGCCATGGAAAACTTCTTTTCTTGTCAAGATATCTTTTCCAAACCCAACATTTATTAATAAAACCTTTTATATGAACCAAATCTTGTGTACTATAGCATATCGTCCTACAGGAAGCATTGTTTATTTTGTATTACCAGCTTTGCTATGCCCCTCACATATCTGCAAAACCGCCAGCCTAAAGTGTATTCATTCTTCGATAGCCGTTCTTTCTTGTTCAACTTAATAATTGTTTATAATATTAATATTTAATATTTGTTTGTTACCAAACTTTTCCCAGAGCATCCAATAGTCGCTCATTTGTACATGCTGCTTAGTTCTTGCTGTTGTTGTTGTTGCGGTTTTTCTTTTGTGTTAGTTATAAATTAAATTTGCAAACGGTCTGGCAACTCTCGCCCTATAGTTTATAATCGTTTGGGAATTGAAATGCAGTCGATTCGAGAATGTCTGCAAGTTTCTGGCATTTTTTATTTGACTGGCCAGGCAACTTTTTGGCTCGGCATTTTTATTACATTTGGTGGCGCCCTCTAGAGTTGGCAGCCGCAACTGGAATTGTGGCATGGGCCCTGCAACCACTCTACACTCTAACATTAATTATTTAAACTGCACGGCACCATAACCATTTAGATGGGCGCTTTGTAACATGTGGCAGCACTCACACACACACGCGCACACAAAGTGGCAACCTTGCGACGCTTGTAATCATAAAAGTTTACGAGTTAAAAAACCAAATCAAAACGACAAGTGACGAGTTCGAAGCCACGTTGACACTGGTCTCAGCTGCAGCAGCATCAGGCCCATTTTGTGGGCACGGGAATTTAATTAAAATCAAGCCCGAAAACCCCAAACCCGCCGGCACCCATCCACACCCACCAAGGCAATCCACTAAACGGATACGTTCTCAGGGCATCGTTTAGTTTCAATCAAAGTGGCGGCGAAAAATTTACGCAAATTGACAACAGAAGCGACTGAAAACGTCGTCGTCGCCCATCAATAAAAAATGGTTAGAAGTGCCTACCCTGGTACTTCGTACCGCTCGCCGTCGCACAGTTCAGACCGTAATTGAAACTCATTAGCGTGCATTTTAGTGGCCATTTTGGTGCCTTTGGCAAGCCTTTGGCCAACCCTTTGGGTACCATTTCCCCAACTGTTTCCAGCACGTAGTTTGTTGTGGGTTGTCCGTGGTTGTTGTGCGTGTGTTTGTGTGTGTGGTTTATGTGGTAAGTGTGTCATCATTATGAATGTTATGGGTTTTTTCTGCTCTATTTTTTTTTTACGGGTTTTGCCAAGCTTTTATGAAAGCGAAAAAATATTTTGTGCACAAAGTAACATTTTTCGTATGTGAATCGAAACAAAAGCCACAAATCGGTTCGGAAATATCTGCTCTTATACGTTACATATTTCATGGCAGAATGATAATACCCGTTACATGAGTATAAACCTTTTCCGACATTTCATTTGATTTTCTTTCACATGCTTTTACACTTGAGACTTGTCAAACGCACAAAGAGTTGTTTGGCTGCAAAAGCCGCAGCAGAGGGGCAAATTTTTCATCACAATTTCAAATGAGTTTAATTGACTTGGCGTAAACTATAAATGAAGTAAGTTCCAATGCCTGTAATTATGCCACATGCGGCGGCAAAGGCAAGTTGCCAACTAAAATGGTTGGCATTGGCTGCCATGTGGAACAAATTCAATTTACAACGCGTTGGCCAATTTTATTCATGTGCGTTGCGTTCAGAGGGGTCGGTCTAAGAAAACGGCGAGAAATGTTAAGAAAACTCCTGATGGAAATTTGCATATAGTGTAGTTTCTGACAGTTCAAAGTGAGAAACTTTTGCTGGGCCATAACTATTAATTAGCAAAAAACCACTTTTCGATAGACCCAAAAGTCCATTAGAAAGACGTGTGTAGTGTGAAGTTATAGGTCTCTGGGGAAAAATAGCATCAAGTTTAATTATTTTCTGATGAAAGATTTGAAAATGTCTGCAATGGACATAGAATAAGATATTTAATTGTGCTTTAGCATGTGTTTATTTTGACATTACTTTTCGAAATTTGTCCCGCCTGAGGGAACTCTATATATACGAATACTACCTTGACTCTCACTCTCTGACATTTTGAACATATCTTTAAAAAATGCGCTTGAAACCGATCGCAAGGTAAACCAAAAAGTATCATAAAACCATTTTCCTCCCATTTTTCACGGTTGTGGGTGGAATTCACAAAATCCCCGCTGCAGTCAAGCCTTAAGATAACTGCAGTGCTGCAAAAACAACGCCTTCGGCTGGCGCAATGCGCATTTACAGCGAATCTCGCTCTAATCAAATTAAACGCAATATTTGCGTTTCATATATGCCAAATAGACACCGTGTGGCTGGCTGAAGCTGGCGAAGATTGGGCGCATTTTTGGTCCGGGCGGAAGCGCGTCGTTGGCGATGCAACTTCCGACTGGCCGCGGGCATTAATTACACTTAAATGTTGACCACATGCCAGCATTTGACAGCCCGTTCGTTGCAAGGCCCAAGTCAATAATTTTTGCAAAATGCAACGAGGACGCCCCGCGGCCACCAACCCTGCAACGGTTTGATCAGGATTCAGGGGTCGGGGATCGGGGGTCAGGGTGTGGGCAGTGAAATTCCACTTGGTTATTTCCCTTGAGCCACTTGCATTTTTTGACAAATTCTCTTGACACGCATGCAGTGTCAACAAGGCGTGGCATTTTTTTATATTTTTATTTTGCCTCAGGGGTAGCGCGTGTGTTTAAATCATTAAATTCATACGCTTCGCGAGAGCTGCACTTTTTATTATTATTATTATGGAAATCCTTGGCTTTGTTTAATTTGCCATTGCTTGACCATTGCGGCCTGATCCCCGCCAGAGATTGTCACCGTCACCGTCTGATTATTTGGTTTCCGTTTTCATTAAAATGCACACACGACATCGTGAATGATGCTGCATCAATGA